CTAGAATCATTCCCTTATTCGGTTATCGGTTTTTCGATTCTATTTTGTCGTTTTATGTAAATGAAGTTGATACAAATGGCTCATGAAAGTACTTTGCTGCAGTTCTGAGTTTGACGTGGAACCGGCCGTTATCGCAGTTTTCAAAAAGTCCTAATAAAATCAAGAAATTTAAAAAATTTGTCTTAACTAATATCGACCATACCCTGGAAAAATTATAGCGGTGGTGAAAAAAAATAATGGCGTGAAACAAGATACCAATATAACACCAATTTCAAAAACTCGGAAAAGATTAAAGATGGTACGGTGGTGCTTAAACATATGTTGTAAAGACCTACGAGAGTCAAATACTAGCGATAAAGATTCAAGAGGGCGGATCTAAGATGGCGATCAAAAACCAATACTGACGCATTAAATGAAATGACCAGACTTAGAAACATGTCTAGGGTGAATAGAAAATTAAATTTAGTTAATAGTAAAAAACATTTTTTAAAACAAGCTTTTATTTAAATGCTCTAAAAAGAAGAAAATAAGCTTGAAATTAAATCGAACCCATCAATTTACTACATTACACACGTTATAAGACATAAAAGCTTGTCGCGAGATTAACCTGTGTAGGTACATAAACAAGAATACAATATGTGACTTGATATTGACATAGGTAAGTAATTCTAAGAAAACAAATTACACTATTTTATAAAATTGGTAAATCCCGCGACAAGCTTTTATATCTCGGTTAAAACTACTTTCACGAAATTTAATTTTTTTAAATTTTTAATTTCCGACGATTTGGATGCTTTCCAGCACGCATGACTACGGGGACTGAGGTGACTGACGTGACAGTATTAACCCCGAGTACCTTCAGCTTTTTAATTATTATTTATGGTCCGAGAATGAACGAACTGTGTCTTAAAGTTTTGCAGTGGTAAGTTTGGGTTTAGTTTTAATTTCATTAATTACAGGGTCCCAAGCAGGTGATAGTACCCAGCCTCCTTCTCTATTAAAATTAGGATATTTTTTAATTTTAATAGTCTTACAAAAGAACATTGATTCCTACCCAGGATGATTGGTAGGAATCGATGTTCTATCAAATCTGATGTAATGGTGGCGGCCGTCTATGATATGATCACAAAATGCAGAATTCCCAGAACTTTGATGCTTCACGTCGGCTTTATGTTCTTTTACGGGGGTTCTTATGATCTTTTTGTTTGCTCTATATATTATGAGAGACCACATTCACAATCAAGCATGTACAATAATGCATCTTGTAGAGGAATATGACACTTGACGTATGGTAAAAACTTGTAGAATGTTCTAATAGAAGCTCGCTTCAAGATGTAGCCAATCTTGTCTGTGACAATTCTGACATATGGTAGTAGCAGGTACACGCTCGACTGTGGCAGGCTTCACTTGGTCACTGAGGGGCGCCGACCCGAAGTTTGTTGTCGTGCAGAACTTGCTTGACATGCTGCAGCTCGGTGGCCAGGTTTTTCTGCTGTCACAGTTCCCTCGTGCTTTCTGTAACAAAAATTTGCCCACGGTGGCTAACTGTGAAGGATTATGGTGAGATTCATCGTTTAAATATCGATTTTTATGGGCCTTTTCTCTAAACGCAATGTGACTGTGCTGAAAAGCACACGAAACGTCGATAATTAAATATTAATAAAAAAGCTGAAGGTACTCCGGGTTAACATTGACATCGGGACGTCAGTCTTCTCAATCTCTCGTGACCATGGGTGCTGGAAAGCATTCGAAACGTTGGGAGTTAAAAATCAAATAAATGAAATGCGATAAAATTCGTAAACGTAGTTTTAATAAATGTGTTGTATTCGCGTGTTAAATATAAGAAATAATTAAGCTTTTATAAAATTAAAATTCTGTAATGTAATAAATTGATGAGTTTGAATTAGTTTGAAGCTTATTTTCCTCTTTTTATAGCATTTAAATGAAAGATGTTTTCATAAAATGTTTATTTTCTATTAATTTTTTAATTTGTCATCCGTAAATTACTCGTCCATTTTTCCTATTTTTTATAAAATATAAAAATATGCTACTGTATTTTATATGACGAGTGACGGGAAGTGGAACTCTCTTTAGGGATTACGATGTATTCCATCCTATCTAATCCTCATAGGTGACAATGCATCTATATTTTGATTCTCGATCGAAGATAGACGTAAGTGTCTATGTCTCACATCATTCACTTAAAATTCAGGTATTTTTAGTGGTCTGAGTGCAGGTTCGTTACACTTACTTCTTTGAAAAATTCAGAGCCTTTCATGATTTGCCATGTGATAATAATGATGAAGAACAACTTTAGTCCGCTTATGTTTTTCTTAAAATTAAATGTATTCATAATCACAAAGACATGCGATATTTGAAAACCATATTTTATTTTTAAATGGTTATGAGAGTACATTTTTTACAGTTTTTTTTAAGTTTTATTAGCCTTTAATATTATTATTTTCAGCTTTAAAAAAATATTTAGTCTATATAAATACTTTAATCATTTAAAATACGCGTTTAAGCTAGAAAAACATAATTTTATATACTTTCATATTAAAATATATTTTAAAAATGCCTTGTGCAAAGGATTCATTACAAAGAACATTAATCATTTTAAAGTATAATGTTTATATATATATATATATATATATATATATATATATGTGTGTGTAACAGCTACATATGTAACCCAGCGTGTAATATTGTCGTATATCATTTTAACTTGCCCCGCTACAGCGCAATCGTCAGCAGCGTGCAGACTCCCGCGGCTCAAGGATGTCCGCAAAAATCGCCCTTAATCGGTGGGCTACGCCTGTAGCCCGCGCGAGCATTGGAGGAAATTAAGTGTTTGTGTGCAAGTTGTGAAATTGAGGTAAATATGATACATTTTATTCAGTATTACTACAAATCATACTGTTAATTAAATTTTTAAGTATATTTTGTTTGTATTTGTAAATTTTTCATGTAGCTTTATACTGTTTTGTTCACTTTTTAGATGGCGGGTAACTCGATCAGATCGTGCGACTAAATACAAAGATGGCTGCTAGAGGATAGTGAACACGACGAAATTTGAAGCGAGTATTGTTATTGTCTACCCTCCACAATGATGACAAAGTTGATGCTGCGACTGGCGATGCTAGAAAACCTGAATTCATCACTTTTTATAATCACATAAATACGGCGTCGACATTTTTGATAAAATGTGTAGACAATACGAAGTTTCTTGCAACAGTCGCCGATGGCCTCTCACGCTATTATACAATTTTATGAAAATTTCGGGCATAAATGGTTTGGTGATATGTCAAATGAAAAACCATCAAATGAAAGTGATCCGTCGTCAATACCTCTAGACGTCGGATTTGATCTTGAAAGACCTATTGAGCGTCGTATTTCCCCAAAAAATAAAAAATATACCCAGAGGTATTAAACTGAAAGGCAGACTACTTATAAGATTGGCGGAACAACCCCCTACATTAAAATATGCCTTTGGGTCGATGTGCTTTTAACAGCTGGGCTCGTGACCGTAGCACGCGCTAACAATGCAGCGAATGTATGAGGCGTATTTGTAGCGAACATCAGGCAGTTGTGTGTCCTAAATGTAAGACAATAGACTGATTTTTAACCCATTACTTTGATAATAGACTCAATTAGGCTAAAAATAACTCCTTAAATGATAAATATTACGTTCCTAAATGAAAATAAGACTAAGAGATCTCAACCTTTCCAAATACATGTTGATTTCTAAGAGAATTAAAATTTTGTTGATTTTATGAACTATTTTGATAAAAAAAAAGTTGTTTAGTAACTATATGCTGCGTTTTACTCATTGTTTTGTCTTATTCAGAGAAATAATGGATCCGCAACTGGTCTACACATGTAGCCCGCCCGTGCGCTCAAGGGGTATTTGAGAGCGCGGGCACTCTAGTGTTAAATTTTATATATATATATATATATATATATGTTATTAAGTGAAAGTAACAAAGTTATCAAACAATGTAGCGAATTTATATGAGAGACAACTTATTTTTCTATCACTAGATAAAAGTAAGCCTAAGCCATCAACTAAAGTATTAAAAAAAAATTGTAAAATAAAAATAAATTGAAACATTTGAATACAACAACTTAACTTAGCATATTTCCTATAAATAACTTTTATCTGATTAGTATGCACCATAGCATAGTATGTGAAAGAAGTGAGAGCGATATTTATTTATTAATAAAAAGAAAGAAACATCTCTAACAATTCACGAGCAGTCGCCAAACATGTCTCGTGTGTGCGTGTGTGTGTGCGTGCGTGCGTGCGTGTGTGTGTGCGCGCGTGCGTGCGTGCGTGTGTGTGTGTGTGTGTGTGTGTGTGTGTGTGTGTGTGACCATAGATAATAAAAAAATCAAATATAATTATGTAATGTGATGCAGATGATAAATCAGCAATTTAAGGTGGTCGGTTGTCAGAATCGTACCTGAACTACCCGTTTTGGTAACAGGCGTATGTTTAGGTATATACTGATGTATATTTTATGCATGTATATAACAATCAGCCCTGACGGTAATATACCCTTAAATGCACGATGTTGTAAAATTACAACATACCATTCAAACGGCCTCAAAATCATCGCTATGCGTTTAGTGCACACTGTTGTAGAATTATCACTAACAGGAGAATATATTTTATCGAATGGCAACACATTTTATTCCTTCACGACTGTCAAATGTCAACTTGGCAGTGACAAAGCAAAAACTATTGTGAATTCTGGAGCAGGTTAAAATTGTTTGGTTGTTTTGTTGTGTAATTAATTGATTTTTGCAGGTGACTACAAATAAAAATGATTTTGATATAGAATAATTCATCTTTTTTTCGATACAGTTATTAGTTTGGAAAATAAACATTTGGTTTTTTATGAAATCTCGTGATATTGATGTTATAAATCTACAACACTATGCATTTACTAGAGAATATCGCTGTTTAGGTTCTGATCACCAATTTCTTATTTCTTCAGATGTCATCCTTGAATCAGAAGCAAATAGAACAATATTTAGCTCAAATTAATGACGGAGAGAGATCTGAAGATGATCTTGAGGAGTCTGATGGAGAAGAAAATGAGATTTTTTATAGAAACCGAGAAGATATACTTCGTGATCATGAGAATCCTATTGAGGAGGAAAAAGATGATGATGATCCTATCTTGGCAGAAGACCCACCATTGATAAATGAAAACCCTGCAATGATCAAGTACCTCAGGTTCCATTTCCATAAACAAGTCAAGGGACTTGTTTGGAAGGTGAAAAAGTTTGTTTTGAATTCTGACCAGACTACTTTTCTTGGCAACACCACATACCCACCAGAACTGAGGGATCAAACTCCTACTGGTAATCCATATAGTATTTTTTCGTATTTTATTACATCTGGAATAATTCAGAAAATCGTAGAAGAGTCCAATCTATACTCTGTTCAAAAAAAATGTAATAAAACCATAGAATATTTCTAAAACTGAACTAAAAAAATTCATGGCAATATTGTTATACATGTCTGTCATAAAATATCCCAATGTTAGGCTTTACTGGTCTAACACTGTAGGTTTTGAACCAATCAAAAAATTATGACGGTCAACAGATTTGAGACTATTAGAAGATATCTTCATTTCAACAACAATGAAACACATTTACCCAGGGAACACCCACAACATGATCGGCTCCATACGATTAGCCCTATACTTAGCCATCTAAATGAGAAATTTGCAACAGTTCCTATGGAACAAAGATTATCTATTGATGAACAGATGTGTACTACAAAAGTAGCACACTTCATGAAACAATATCTACCTAATAAACCACATAAATGGAGGTTTAAATTATATGTAAAATGCAGTGTAAAAGGCTATGCTCATAAATTTGAGATCTACACTGGTCAAGAGAATTAACGGTTTCAAGATGAACCAGATTTTGGACCAGTGGGTAATGTTGTTATCCGGCTAGCCAGAGGTGTCCCAAGGCATATCAACCACATAATATATTTTGATAATTTTTATACCTCTGTTCCGCTAGTTATCCATCTTGCTAAAGAAAGGATCTATAGCATGGGTACTGTACAATCTAACAGGCTTGTAAACTGCAAACTACTTGACAAAAAAATCAATAATGAAGAAATCTGTTCCCGGGGGTAGTTATGAAGAGCAAATGACTAGCTTTGAAGGTGTTGATTTGACAGCTGTAAGTTGGAAGGGAAATAAACCGGTCACTTTCCTATCTTCATATTGTGACGGCCCAATATTATTATTAATGATTAAATTCAATATAAAGGGGCATCAAAAATAGTCTTAATATATATATATATATATATATATATATATATATATATATATATATATATATATATATATATATATATATATATATATTATGCAATAAAATCACATTAATAAACATAAAGTTAATATAAATATTTATCAGACATTAGACAAATAACATAGTAAATTAAATAAGATAATTAATAGAAATACAAGTTGAAAATATTATAAACTAAAGATAAATAACATTTATAAGATAATTAGAAAATTTGTTAAAAATTGTCTAAGTCTTGGAAGGAGTTCATGTATAATAGAAATTTCCTAAGTTGTGGAAGGAGTTCACGTATAAAAGAAAATTTTCCTAAGTTGTGGAAGATGTTCATGTATAGATGTCTTGTATGGAGAAGCTGCCGCAGATACATACCTGCAGTTGTAAATATATATGGGGTGGTCGGGAGCCCGACTGCTTAAAGTACAATGACTAGTCCTAAATTAGGGACTTATGATAATAAATTCAATGATACAAAAGCAATACTATAGAAGGTCTCCATGATGAATTTGCATTACAATAGTGGGGGTCGTGGGTTGAAGTCCTATATATTAATGACTTATGAAAGTAAGGTCTATGATACAAAAGCAATACTATAGAAGGTCTCTATGATGAATATGCATTACAATAGTAGGGTCGTGGGTTCGAGCCCTATATATGAATGACTTATGAAAGTAAGGTCTATGATACAAAAACAATACTATAGAAGGTCTCCATGATGAATTTGCATTACAATAGTAGGGTCGTGGGTTCGAATCCTATATATGAATGACTTATGAAAGTAAGGTCCATGATACAAAAGCATTATTATTGAAGGTCTCCTTTATGCATAAGTATTGTATGGGGTGGTCGGGTGACCGACTGCTCCTAGTACTGTAGCAAAATGACTAGTCCTTATTAGGGACTTGAAAAGGAATATTATGGTGGCGCGTATGCTGCTTCACGAGCAATTGGTCCGAGGTAAACTTGGACTCGCTAACCGATGTGTCCTAGACATATCATCTTAGTGCTGGTGGTAAGCGGGTTTGTTGTAGCAATACGGCTTTCCCGTGGACATCGCACACCCATACCGTTTGTGGGCGACGTCGTAGCGCATAGCGATGCGTCGTCTATCTTTCGGATTGGGGTGATGAGTGTGTTTGGTAGCACTTTTAAATGTAACAGGCATACTAGACATATCATGTATTAGTGGTAGCCGGTGGTAAGCGGGTTTGTTGTAGCAATACGGCTTTCCCGTGGACATCGCACGCCCATACCGTTTGTGGGCGACGTCGTAGCGCATAGCGATGCGTCGTCTATATTTCGGATTGGGATGATGAGTGTGTTTGGTAGCACTTTTAAGTGTAACAGGCATACTCAACTTCATGTCCTAGTGCATTAGCGCTATGATACGTGGAGTTTTGTTCATTGGCGTCTTGGTAGCGTGCTACTATGATACGTTGGTGATATTTTTTATATAACAACAATACAAACTTTGTTACCAAAGTCGATAGGGGTCATGTGGGTGTGTTGTGAGGGGGCGCCATCCGTATGATAGTTGAATTGATGCTTACTACTAATTGCGGTATTGCGTCTTGTGATGGATCTGCGGGTGTGCTGCGCCTGATTCGACGCTCTCTTGTGGTTCTGGTCGATGAAAGTATGCGGGTGGTGATGTCTGCTGAGATGTATGGATGAGAGGTATGTATGCTTGTTGCGTTCTGCAGCATTGCGTCTCTGCGATGGTTGTTTGGTGGGACGCTATTCTCAATGGCGCTCTCTGCCTCTTGGTTTGACTCACGCCTGAGTAGCTTTGCCCAAGTCGGGTCCCTTCATTACGGGGCTGCAGACTGTCTGCCTCCATGATGTTTTATATAATAACATAATAATATATCTCTGTAACTTTCCCACCTTTGAATGATTGAAGGCAATTTGTTGGTGGGTGAGACAGAAATGATCGAAAATTCATTTACTCAACGTCAGTGACACAAACCCTTTCTGATGGCAAATTATTACTCTTATCTTATAACTGCCTTTTGGCTATATCTGCCGTTGTATCGGTTGGTGGAGCATATATTTCGATCCCATGCGGGTGGTAGCTGGCGGGAGGATCTGTGGAGACTCTCAAGGCTGCAGCCGAAAGCCACACAACGTGGGACCCCATTCCTTTGAGGTGAGCGGTAGACTCATAACACGCTCTACTGCGGCTATTAGCCGTGCTGATCATGCAATTGGTGGTGATGCCATACACTTACATTACGTCTGCAGGAGCGGCGGTCTGGCAGGTGGTGGCGCTCACGGAGGGTTTACGGCCAATGTGCCTATTTGCCTAAACTGTGTGACGTACATTCACTGTGGCTGGATTTGTTCCTATTCTGTATGGCGTTTACACGCATTAACATGCGCGACTTCGGTCGATGTTTGTGCTTACGCATTAACAAGGGGCCAAGCCTCTTTTACTGGTTCGCCAGTTATTTTGCTGTGGACTACGGTCCAGTTCCCGAATTAGCGTTTCCTTCAGGGGGAGTGCATCAAAATGGTTGGCACTCACCGTGCAAAGCGTGTGTGGGGCCGTGTGCCTCCCCTACATTTTTTTTAAATAAATGTAGGAGAGCGAAGCCCTTGTATTGGGTATTTTGTATAAATATATTGTGAGCCTTTTCCAAGCGGAAAGGGATAAATAATAACAAATTATTAATGTAAACCTGATGCAAGTGGAATAAGGACGTTTTATGTTCTTAACCTTTCTCGAGCCCTGTCTTCGTGAACGGGGTTCACTTAGCTTATAAGGCACTACCAACAGCTTTCAATTGCTCTAGTGAATATTCATTCTTCCAAAAGACACCTAAAAGAACTAAGTTGCTAAGCAAATACAACGTAAATAAGGGTCCTAACTAAGACGATCACGCCAAAATATTAGAAACGGCCTATTATTAAACCTTTAGAAAGATCAAAACATATCTTATATATCTTGGTCACAAATATATCATCTTTAATATAAAGGGGAAATATAATATATTTACTATTTTATATATTTATTATATATTGAGGGATGGGGGGAACGTTACAATATGTTGGTGCAGAACCTGTTTCTCTAGTAGAAAGATTTGACAAAGTTAATAAGACCAGGATCAAGATTACATGCCCACGTGTAATAAAAGAGTATAATGCCCATATGGGCGGGGTGGATCTTCTGGATAGCTTCATTGGTAGGTATCGTATATCAATGAGAAGCCGTAATTGTTACCTACATATATTTTACCATCTGTTGGATATGACAGTAATAAATTCCTGGCTTGTTTATAAAGACTTGAAAGGTACTGAAGTAACTTCATCAGTTCTGAATTTGTGTCAATATAGACTGGAACTAGCTGAGGTTCTAGCTAATATAAATAATGCATCTGAACTCTAAAAACGTCCCAACAAACGAGAAAGGCCCAGCACCAGTAACAGCGTTGAAATGGCAATAAAAGCCAAATATAGGACCAGTTCAGCATGTTCCACCTAAAAATATCAGGACAGATAATGTTGGTCACTGGCCTGATAATTGCGCCCGCAGTAGATGCAAAATGCCTGGGTGCAAGGGATATACACAAACAAAGTATGAGAAGTGTAGAGTAACCCTTTGCCTTCTTATCTAGGAATTGTTTTAAAAACTTTCATATTTCATTATTTCTAGTAAATGCATAGTGTTGTATTTATGCAACAGTTGTTTTTTTTTTAAATAAAAACCTATAAAAAAATTATTTTTATTATTATTTTTCCCTGCCTAGGCATGTGCATGTCTACTACACATATTTTTCCTACGTAATAAGAACAAATCATGCATTTATTAGCTAACAGTTGCGGAATATCTTTGCCGTCAGGCGATGCCATCGCCCACGTAGGTTTTACTGTTTATGCCGTCGTCGCAAATATGCTAGGGGTTGTAACGAAATTGGGAATTAAAATAATTTCGGATGTTACTTATTATCATTTAATAAAATTATGGACATACTATTTGTTACGGCCCTCAGTAACCCCGACAAAATTCGACTGGGCTAGGGACTATAGTAATCCAACTCGACGAGCAACTGAGGAGAGGGCCCAATGGCCGATGGATAATTAATTTATAACGGCTGTGTAAGCAAACACAAACTTACCGAATTCCGGAGGTAGGGTGGACCACAAGGTA